TGTTGGGATCCTAAAAATAAGTTGTTCAAGTACGGAAAGGGACCAGACATCGTCCAAAACAACCAGAGTTCGCGGTCCACTTCCCCACTCACATTGTAACTTCCCTTCTGGAACAAACAGGTTATTGGTGTAACCCATGGCCTCGTTTCCTGTAAGAAATCCCCATATTCTTGCCCTTAACCGTTGCACATCCGGTGATTGTGATACAGTTAAAAACAAAATTCTGTCGTTGAAGTGACCTTAAAAAATGAAAACAGAAGTAATTAGTTCTACCATAATCGGCCATACCAGCATAAAAAGTCAACAAAAACCTTATTTGATCAATTACTCACATCAAGGAGAAAACTTACTTCGAACTTGATTATCTTTACAAATTTCATTGGCCAACGTAGTTTTCCCTGATCCTCCAATACCCCAAATTCCAACAACGTTTAAATCATCTCTTCCGATTATCATCTTTTTCCCCTTACTTTTCCCCAAATCCAAGCCAACTGCACCAATAATTCCCAAACTAGCCTCCTCTTCAACTTCCATTCTCTTAACCGCTTCTTCCACCCAACCCTCCCGCTCCGATCTTCATCGAATTGAGCCTCTGCTCCAATCGACCTTCCAAACGGTCGAACCGCTCCATCGTTTCGAACCGCATGTGGTGAACGTCGGCCAACAAGTGAGCCTGCATCGGCCCGCTAACGAACCTCGAAACCTGTTTCTCTAACTTCTCCATCTTCCTGGCCAGCTGGAGGTTCTTGTAGACGTTCCAACGGCCGGAAGCCAGGACTTTGCGGGCCAATTCGAGGCCGCCACGCAGAGTCTCGGAGAAACGGTCGAGCTGAGACTGACGGATGGCGGAGAGCTCGACGCCGGAGTACTTGATTTCATTGATGATGGGAAGGAGTTCTTCGATGCTTGTGATGAGATTGTCCGCACTGGATTTGCAGAGGCAGGACTTTCGTGAGATGGCGAATAACTGTTTTAGAAGTTCCGCCGCTATTTCTCCGGCGAAAAAGTCGTTAAAGGCCATCGATATTACTTGGATCAACTTAACCAGCGAGAAGCTTTTCGTGAGACAGAGAGTGACTCGGTTATATATATATATATATATATCCTAAATGGCGGGCGCGAATTAAACTGCTCCGATCTCCACTCGTCTGGTGACTTTTGCGCTTTTTTTCTTTCTTTGATCCAATTCTTTAGAGATTAAAGTGGAGTTAAAAAGGAATATTTTTAAAGGAAAATGCAAAGCTTTTTTATTTAAAAAAAAAACATCCTTTTTTTCTCATTTTGATAGAAAAATTGCATTTATTATTTTTAATCATTATTTGCAGTTTTGTCACTAAACATGAAATATAAAAATAGATTAAATTAGTTTATAAAAAAATTATCTACTGTGGCGTATTTTGTTAGATAGTCTAAATCTTATTTTTGGAACAGAAACTTGTTTTTTTTATTGCAAGCAAATGCTGAAGTAAGGTGGCACTTGTTTGGCTTATTAACTAAGCGATGGTATATATGTTAAAAAAAAGTACCTTTTAACAAGAAATCGCAATTTACCGTTTTTGGTTTTGACTCATTAGTCCAAATTACCATTACCTGTATGTATATATCATTATAATAATTTTAGCTTAGAATTCCTTTGACAAGTCCATGATTCAAAAATATTTCAACTTTATTTGCTCATTAACAAATAATCACATATTTAGTGTTAATTGACTATTTATTTATTCCTACAATATTTAAAATATTAAACGTTCTTAATGATGTCAATTTAAGCCTACGCAAATTTTTGGCTCTGTTTAAAATTATAATATATATAGATAAAATTATGAAAATATTTAAATTTGGTCAATAGATAATCACATTTTATTATTTATTTACTCTAATAATATTTGAAATATTATATATTATTAATAATATTAATTTAAATTTTTAATAATTCTGACTCAATTCAAAGTTAGAATATCTACAAAAAGTTATGAAAATAAAATTTTAATTTAATAAATATGAATTATGGAACTACTTTTGATTCTTAAAGAGAATAGTAATAAGCTTAAAAGATTTAAGGATCTTACTCTCAAATTTTTATTAACAAACATGAAAACATAAAATTAAATATATTTAATATCTTTTAATTTAGTAGTGGTAAGTAATTTAGAAAAAAATAATCTAGTTAATGAAAGTTACCGTATTGTTAGAAAAAATGCAAAGAAAAAGAAATTATGTCTTCTTATTATTATTTTATGTTAGGTACACAACTCTGTCCTTTTTTAAGACAAAACTTTGGGGGATTATAATATGGTGAAAGATTAAATGGTGGGGACACTACACTGTCGATTGGCGTTGACGAGCGAAATGGCCGTCCTGCCCTCAAATCATTTTCAATTTTGGAAGAGATGACTTGTTCAGTGCCAGTCAACATCAACATACGTACTCTTTTGAATTTTGTTTAAAATAATAATAATTAGCAGTGCAAATTAGTTGATTAGCTGAGTAAATTAGATGATATTGAAAATAAAACATAAATAAACTATGGAATGTAAAAACCTTAACCACGCAGTGAAGGAAGGCTGCTGTGGTTACTGGGTTCATTGGTTGGTAGGTGACAATGGCGATTTTCTTGACTAATGTTATTTGGTTGAAATATTGCCTAATCTAGCGGAGGAATTTGATACTAAATATATTCCCTTTTTAACACCCGAACCCTATTGGGGTATTTAAATAACTGAATTAATTCGGTTAACCGATCGAATCAAATTAATTCGGTTAATTCAGTCGGTCACGAATTAATTCGATCGGTTAACGGTTAAGAAAATTTTTAGAATTGTGTTAACGGTTAATTCGGTTCGAAATCGGTTAATTAACCGAAATTAAATTTTAAATATATTATATATAACATTTGGACTTAGCCCAAACCATTTAAAACTCAATTAATAATTTAAAATCATATAACTTTTAAACCTAAATGAATATTAATTAATTAAAAATTTTATATAAAAATTTTATTTTATAATTATATATTATTTAAATTAATTGTAAACTGTTTTTTTAATTAAAAAAATTAAATATATTATATATAACATATGGGCTCAGCCCAAACCATTTAAAACTCAATTAATAAATTAAGATCCAATAACTTTTAAACCTAAATCAATATTAATTAATTAAAAAAATTATCTAAAATTTTTATTTTATAATTATATATTATTTAAATTAATTATAAACTTTTTTTGAATTAAAAAATATTTAATTTTTATATAAATTAGAAAATTTTTAAAATTTTTGATTAATTCGAAAATTAACCGAATTAACCGAAATTTATTCGGTTCGGTTAATATTTTAGAAAAAAAATTCGGTTCGATTAACGGTTAAAGAAAAAAAATTCGATTAATTCGATTAATAATAATTCGATCAATTCGATTCAATTTTAACCGAATGAACAACCCTACCCTCCAAGCCTGCTTTGCAAATTAAAATACTCAAGATCTCGAGACCCAATACCGCCTTCCTACCAATAAATACTAGACTCATTAGTTCCGTGAGTCCGCCAAAACTTGGCAACAGCAGAACTTAGTTCCTTTTTAAAGGAATTTAGAACATGACATCTGATACATGGGAGTAGCACTTGCCACACAGGACTTCTTTGCCACAAAGTCAACCCCTTCCAGCTTTTTAACCTAACCATCATTCTATTTTTAAGCTGCTGACTTGGTAATGCCCCATAAATAAGGCATGCCTAAGTATACACCAGGATTATTAGCAGCAGGGATTCCCATCAACTGTGATAAAAGAGTTTTTTTTTTTACCTTAACTGATGCATTCTGGCTAAAAATCAGGCTAGATTTCTCCAAACTAACTTTCTGCCCTGATTCCCTACATTATTCCACCAAAGCATCCAACAAACCTTGACAATTTTTCCTGTCAGCCTCGATGAAAAACAGAGCATCATCTGAAAAAAGTATGTGGAAAATAACAGGACAATTCCTACTGATTCTAATATCTACTATGGTGAAATGTTCTTCAAGGCTTACCATTGACCAGTAAAGTGTAAGAAACTGTCTTTACACATTCCAGAATCCACCCAATCCTGCAATTATGAAAGCCCAGTTTCAGCAACACAGCCTCCAAGAAACTCCACTTGCCCCTATCATAAGCCTTCATCACCAGCTTCAACTTCCTTCCCTTTCTTCGTAAGCTTCAGGTAATGAAAAAGCTCTTGTGCAATAATCACATTTTCATGAATCTGCCTGTTGACAGCAAAAGCTGTTTGGTTCTCTGAAATGATCTTCCCAGGTTAAGGCTTAAGCCGATTAATCATTACCTTAGAAATAACCTTGCACAGCTTGATTGGACTATACCGTGTCACCATTTCAGGATTATGAACCTTAGGAATGAGTTCAATTTCAGTAGCATGCATGAATCTCATCGAATCACCGACATTAATTACACGATTTAAATTCCAATGAGTATGTAATAATTTAACTCCGATTTTGTCAGTTTTCAAAATTATATGCTACGTGTACTATACTTAAAAAGTTTAGTATATTATATGTCAGTGTCTTGTGTCTTTTACCCCAACTACTGCGTGATGCTGCTCGCGATTAGGTCCAAGCCCGTAGAAGGGCCAACATCCAGCCCCAGGGCTCATTTTGACTTGGCCGTGGATGTTGCTTGCCTTGCTCGGGTTCAGCAATGGAAATGTTGCCCTTTCACTTAATGCAAACTAAATCATTCGGCTCAACAGCAGCACCCCCAATAACACCTAACCTTACCTATCCATGTATCCACACCCAATAAAAAACAACTGGAGAACCCGATTTTTGTTAAATATATACTGGAAAGAAACAAAAAATTCCTTCAAAAATGAATTAATGGTACAAATATATTTACATTTGAGCTTGTATCTAGTACATGTCTGATGTCTTGCAAGAGTTCGGTATATTGTAAGAATAATAAGTAAAAGGAAACAAGTAACAATACATATGTAATATTGTACAATCCAATAATTACCATGATCCTGGTTAACCACAATACTATAGCTCTACAATTATATTACATGTCTTCTACTTTGAGTATTGTAGATCTATCCTACTCATCATACACCCATTCAGAAATACGATTATGACGACTTACTTGGTCACCTACGCCTTGTGCTAATCTTGAATCAAGCAGTTCAAGTTGCTTTCTAATCCAAGGAGGGTCATCAGGATTCAACCAGAGAGCTTCACCAGTATCTTTGTGCTTAAAATCTGGCTGCGATGGTTTTTTCTTACTTTTCCTATTGTCCCACCATTCGAACGGGCTGGTAAAAAATACTTGCCACAAGTATTGTTGGCTATTATACCTCCCCATACCAGCTTCACCTACATCTTTAGAGAAGAAAAGAAAGACAACATAATAAGAATGGAGCAAATGAAGAATCTAAAACCTCAAAGCCGATAACCGTTGAAGATTGTTATTCTATACTATGCAATGTTCTTAAGATCATTGACTAACTCCTACAATTGGCCAAACATATGACATTAAGACATCATTCCACCTAAGCCGTTGGAAAAGTACCATATAAATTCCGCAAAAAAAGAGGATTCAGAAATGATTTAACAAACTGAGAAAATTACAAATGCAGTCAAACTTTAAAAAGATAGGAACATTTCTACCTTGTTTTGATCCTAATTCCTCACATTTTCGGGTGTTTGATCTTTGACCTTGTTGGGCAACAAAATTCAACTCTGTCACATTTACCTACAATAATATATCAAATGAACGTGCATGTAAATACATCCTTCATATTTGCATAATCAAGAAGGGGTGTAAATCCATACATTGAAGCAACATCATGTTAACTCCATAAATGCATCAATCAGATTACATTAGAAGCTAAGGGTGCCAAAGTTAAGCAACGTAAGTTTGATTAATGTCAGGAAAAATAATAACGGTACCAAAATAAAACAGGGCTTGTTTTCTAAAGAACCTGGTAATATACTATGAGTTGCTTATCTACATTAGCCTGAGAGAAAGAACCCAACAACCCTGAAACATAAATAAAATCCCCAGGCTTCACGTGCTCCATACAGATTCTCCCCATCTCATTCCACATTCTCAACCCTATCCTGTTTTTAAATCATAACTCAGGCATTAAAGCTCCAATAAGGTAGAACTTAAACAAAAAATAACCAAGTAACAGAAATTTACTTGAATCTTCTATCAGAATCATAGGGGTTTTTGACAATGAGCCGAGTCTGAACCCCAAACTTATCGCTCTTGGTATTCATAACCTTGAGAGGCACATCCACTGTTCCTATTAAGCTGATGCGGTTTCGCGACCCAGGCTTCACTTGCACAGTCGTTGGGCGCTGGAATCTAAGAGCCAGACGGTAAACCACGCTACCTCCTTCATCGTCGAAGATATGATTTGAGAGTCTGCAATTTGAAGCTGCGGATGAATGGAATGAGGTACGATTTGGAAGGGGAATTTGGGAAATATGTCTTCCGATTAACGCGCCAAGACGACGGACGATCATAAATACAGCACGGGGAAGTGATAGAAGAGCCCCGGCGCTCTTACTTGCCGATGAGATACTTGAGAAGTGAATATTTGGCTGGGGTTCAAAACGGAGGACTGACCGGCGGGTTTTTGCTTCTCTGAGAAGAGGGCTCTGTAGACAGAAAGAAGATTATAAACTTGTCCAAGATAGTCACGTGACTCGAAACAGTATAAGAGAGGGGTGTTTTCACCTAAAAGTCAAGTATTGGTAAAAACCCTAAAGAGTCACGTGATCGCATTTTGTAGCCTCTTTAAAGTTAAAAAAACGAAATTCGATTATTACAATACTTTTAGAGACTGTTAAGATGTTAGAGGAGTGGAGAGAGTCTACGGTGATATCAATCTATAAGAATAAAGAAGATCCCCAATGTTGTGGTAACTACAGAGGTATTAAACTACTCAGTCATACCATGAAGCTATGAGAAAGGGTGATAGAGGCTAGGTTGAGACAGGTTACTAGGGTTTCAGAAAAGCAATTTGGCTTTATGCCAGGCAGGTCTACTACGGAGGCTATTCATCTACTTCGACGGCTTATGGAGAAATATAGGGAAAAAATAGAGATCTTCACATGGCGTTCATTGACCTTGAGAAGACATATGATAGCGTACCCCGCGATACAATCTGGAAGACCTTGGAATCGAGAAAGATCCAAATTGCTTATATCCGGGCGATCCGTGATATGTACTGTAAATCTACTACATACGTCAGGACTACAGTTGGTGACACTGAGGCATTCCCGGTGGAAATCGGACTCCACCAGGGGTCGGCTCTTAGCCCTTACATCTTCGCCTTGATTATGGACGACATCTATTGTACGACACCAGACAGTGTTCCATGGTGTATGCTTTTCGCTGACGACATTGTCCTAGTTGCTGAAACAAAAAATGAGCTAAATAGTAGACTGGCTACCTGGAAGACTGCTTTGGAAAAAAAAGGTCTAAGGATCAATATTGAAAAGACAGAGTATTTATGTTCAAACTTCAGTGGGAACCAAAACGATGAAGATGTAGAAGTTTGCATCGAATGACACATGCTCCCCTCAAAGGATTGTTTCAAGTACCTAGGGTCTATGATACATAAAGATGGGGGTGTAGATGATGACGTTACACACCGTATAAAGGTGGGATGGCTAAAGTGGAGGGCTGCTACTGGAGTTTTGTGTGATAATAAGGTGCCTTTAAAACTTAAGGGAAAATTTTTTGAATGGCAATAAGACCAGCGCTGCTGTATGGATCAGAATATTGGGATATCAAGAAGCACGTAAGGAGGATAGAGGCCGCAGAAATGAGAATGCTTCGATGGGTATGTGGTAGGACTCTGTGGGACATGACACGAAACTCTGCAATTAGGATGTCATTGAGGGTGGTGCTTGTATCCGAAAAATTGAGGGAGGGAAGACTATGGTGGTTTGGGCATGTTCTTAGGCGACAACCGTCGGATGCGATCAGGAGGGTAGACTCGATTACAGTCGACGGTGCCAGAAGTAGAGGACGACCAAGGAAGAAGCGGGTAGACTGTTTGAGATCTGATTTGAAGGATTTAGCCCTTACCGAGGACACGACCTCTGACAGAAAAGTATGGAGACTTAAGACTAGGGTAGTCGAGTAGTGCGGACCACTACCATAAGGTGTATCATCGGTGTCTTCTTTTTTAATACCTTTTGTAGTAATTTTCATGACTTCTACTTTTTATACGGTTCTGTCATTAGAATTTATGAAGGCTTAGAACTAGGGTAGCGGAGTAGTGATGTCTTAGTTTAAGTTTTAACCCATTTGACTTTTTACCTTCTCGTTTGCTATCACTGACTACTGGGTATCCTTCACTTCATGTTTCCTCTTTTTAAATTTAGTCAGGACTTACGTTTACTGTCTATATGCAAATATTTTTACGCAGGGTTTTATTTGCAGAGATTACTTCCCATTACAGATGCGCATTTGAAGACTGCTTATGAAACCTGTTCAACTATGTGCTTATTTATTTATTTATACATGCATTGTATTTTATCTTTATTTTTAATTTTCTGATTGCAAGAGGTCTTCCACGGAAGCTGCTCTTTACCTGGCGTCAGGGGTAGCCTACTACCTTACCTCCCCCTTACCCCATTGCATATGAGAATAGGGTTTTGTTGTTGTTGTTGTTTTGATAAATTCTTTCTTCAACAAGAGTCAGATCAAACTTGAACCGTTTGGTTCAATTATCATAACTAGTTGTCAATTTTTTTTACTTTGGTTTGACAAAAAAAAATGTAATTTCAATTATCTATGCTAATGGAGCAGTGAGCTTTCTGAAGGAATAGCTAGAAGTATAATACATGTATCACTGAAGCCATCAATCCATAGTTTCTTAAGGCAAAGATTGAAAAACTTCTTCATAATATGAAACCATTCCAAATCCCTTTCGCAACATTTATATTATGTAAAGAGAAAATAACCTCAGTGACCAAAAATGCCTTATAATATACGATTTTAACCAACCTTTTTTGGATTTTCCAAAATGACCAACTAAATCGCAATGCGATTGATAATTCGCAACGCGATTATGACTATCGCATTGCGATTTCCCAAATTCGCGTTGCGAGTTTCCTAATTCGCAATGCGAATACGTAAATCACAACGCGAATTTGGAAAATCACAATGCGATTACGTAAATCGCAATGCGAATACGTAAATCGCAATGCGAATCTGACTATCGCAATGCGATTTACATAGCGCCATTCGTATTAACGCGTATTTTTTTTTTTCAAATTCCAAACACTAATATATTATTATATCAAAACACTGAACCGTTCACAGTATATCCCGTAATCGTAACTCATAACCTAAAACCCTAAATCACAACTCAGTCTCATCTCCATCTCTCACTCTCTAAGGCGACATCCGTCCCCATCTCCGACGAAATCAATCCCCACGACGATATCAGTCTCAATCTCCGGCGAAATCATTCACGATCAAAAATGAAAAATCAACCAAATCAACCACCGAGGGTTATTTTTTTAATTATTTTTATTTTGAAATTTTTGCATTATTATTAGGTTTTTCATATTGAAATTGATGATAAGTTTACTGGTGTTTTCAATAATAGATTAGCCATTTCACTTAGATTGCTTATTATATTCATTCGATTGCTGCCAATACTGCTAAACTGTTTAGTCTTTAACCCTGTGAAGTTAGTATTTGTCTTTGTTTTGTCTTTTGGTTGAAGTAATGCAATCCATTCAAGTTTCTTTCAATTTTAGTATTTGAAACCGAGAATGACTATTGCAATGCGATTCTGTCGTTGCGATTTTCATTTCGCGTTGCGATTCTTGCGTTGCAATAGTCAAATTCGCGTTGCGATAGTCATTTTCGTGTTGCGATTTTCATTTTCGTGTTGCGATTTAAAGTTTTAGAAACTATTCTTCTTCTGCAAATTGAAACTTGAATGAATTGCATTACTTCAACCAAAAAACAAATACTAAATTCACAGTGTTGCAAATTTAAGTTTGAAGAATAAACTACTACTCTTTATGTTTATTGTTCATATCTTCACAGTGTAGTTTTTGGTATATCTAAATTGGTATGTTTATTATTTTTGCAGAACTTTTATTTGGCTCAATTGACCTTAAGAAATAAAGTAAGCCTGGCCAAAACAATTGCGTCGAAGCTTTCACCTGCACAAAGAAATATATTTGAGGATACTTACTTCGGGCCATGGCTGAAAGTACAACATCCGGGTGGAGATGCTATGTTGACCCATCTGTTTCTTCAAACCATGACTAGCGATCTACCAGAGACTATACAACGTCGTGATGAAGAGATATGGTTTGATTTTCCACCGGCGTATACGTATTTTGGGCGGGAGGAGTTTTACTTAATCACCGGTCTACGCTTCGGACACGATGATGTAGATCGGTACACTAGACATATTACCCGCCTATCATGATTTTCCCGGGTTTTTCCTGAGCTGTCAACAGAGAAGCCGAATTTACACGTGGAAGACTTGACGAGATTATTGAATAAGAAAGATGGTTTTACTCGGATGGATGATGTTGATGTTGTCTGAGTATGCCTTCTAATACTTTTGCAAGCCGGCTTTTTAGGCAGAGAGGCCCGACAACCTATTCCTAATGATCTAATTAAATTGGTAGAGGACCTAAATGCATGGAACCTGTTTCCGTGGGGTTCGTATCTATGGAGAGCTACATGGAATAAGTTGTCGTCTGCCTTTGATGATCGAAAACGTTTGCGTGGCGATGGTTCCAAATACACTTTGTCAGGCTTTATTTGGGCCTTTAAGGTAATAATTTTTATATAATGTTTCCAAAATTATAATTAATTCTTTAACAATTACTAATGTTTGTTATTATATTGTTTGTAGATTTGGATATTTGAGGCCTTTCCCGCCATGCAGACATATGCATTAAAAACTTCTAATGATATTCCTAGGGCTATTTCCTGGAAGAGGAAACAGTCCTTGCAGCAATGGGAAGATTTACTACCGTATACTACAATAAATAATGTAAGTTAACACAAATACTACCATATGTTTATAAACAAGTTATTACTAGAACACGTTTAACTTTGTTTGAGTTTTTATATTGTTAGGAGGCCAACACTCCATTACAGAGGCTGACACCCACGGAAGCTGAGCTTGTCACTGATTGGTGGCAAGCTAGTAAGCATTTTTTTGATAGCACGGATGATGAGCAGCCACCACTTCGAGAGCCATCACCTCACCCAGAGCCATCACCTGATCGACCCGAATATACACCTCCACAACGAGAGTCATCACCTATTATGTCACATCATCGAGCCTCTTCTCCACCATCACCTCATGATAGGCGACCGGCAAAGATGCCACGACGTTTATCTCCCTGTTCTCCACCTCCACCTCCACGGGATGAGTTAGGGGAGTTACGTAATGAGGTCAATGCCTTGCGTGAGGAGGTCGGTACTTTACACGATGACAATGGTGCATGGCGTGTTGAGGTGTCTACTTTACGTGGTGAGGTAGCAGCTCTACGTGAGATTGTAGCATCATTGCAGAACGAGGTTCATACTCTACGCAACGAGGTAAGTTTAATATTTTTCATATTTAACTTGATGATAAATTTACTCGTAATTTCACTTAGATTGCTTAGTA